AAAAGAATCTAAAACTGATGAGGCGAGCCCCAGGCCTGGCCATTCCACTCGGTGGCCTGCTCGCCCATGGGCTGTGCCGCCAGAGCCCAGCCCGGCACCACTGGAGTGACCGTGCCGCGGTTGGTTCACCCTGGACCACTGTGTTCAAGTCTGCGTGGGTACTAAACACTGGCGGCGTCGCCACAGAAGGAAAAGGGGAACACAGCCCACCCCTCCTTAAACACCCCCATCCGAGCTGAACTTTCCTGGGAATGCACAAGTGGCCTGGAGGAGGGGGGCAGGAGGTGGAGAAAAATAAATACCAAGAGCTAAGTAGATGTCCCTGGACCTCTAGCTTCGGCTCGGCCTCTGGGGCAGAGATGGCCTCCAGGGAGGAGGCCTTGATTGTCCAAACACTGCGCTCCGCGACAGATTATAGGTCTCTGATGTCCCCGATGGGCACCTGCCCTGGGGAGCATGAGTCTCAGAGGGAGAAAAGGGGCCAGCCCCTCAGGTACTGTCCTGTCACCCTGGCCCAGCTCACAGCCAACCCCCAGGCTCCTGCCCTGGCAGAGAGGCTGGGCTAGCCGGCCTGGGGTTTCTGAGTTCCTGGGCTGGAGGATCCCTCAGTGGTTCCACTGCTGGCCATGCCCGGCCAGCCATGTGCTCGGCCGCCTGCCGTGGTTCAGGCCTGCTCCTTGTCAGCCCTCCAGAGCCGCTCCTTCACCTCGGGTGGCAGCGTGTTGAACAGGTCCTCCTCTACCACCAGGCCGCTGCGCTTGAGCAGCGGGCACTCGCCCAGCTCCACGGGCAGGCACTCCAGCCGGTTGCCCCGCAGCTCGATCTGGGTCAGGTTGGTCAGCTCGCCCACCCTCGACGGCAGCGACTGCAGCACGTTGTTGCCCAGGTGCAGGGCCCGCAGCTTCCGGCACTGGAACAGCTCCGGGGGCAGCGCCTCGATCTAGAGGGGGAGGAAGGGACAGGGAAAGTGAGTGTGCACGGCTTGGACCCAAGGGCCTCTGGGCCTAAGGCGACCCCCCTCCCTCGTCCTGCACCGTCACGTGCTCTGAGGCCCATTTCAGCCTCCTGGGGCTCCACCACCAGCGCACCCTGGAACAAAGTCTGGCTCACTTCCACCTGTACTTTAGGTCTCAGCTCTATGGTCACTTCCTCCAGGAAGACTTCCCTGGCCTCCTAGGTAATCTATGGCACCCATGTCCCCCCAACAGCATTGATCTCCCCCTGGTGAAACTGCTTATCACCGTCACCCAGGGACTGTGGTTTCCGAGAGGGCAGGACTAGGTCTACCTTGTTTCCCCCTGTCTCCCAGCACCTGGCATCCTATGAAGGCAATCACGCTAGCCAGCTACTACAAACTCCGCCCCATCCTCCACCACCCGGGGCTCACTGGGAGCCAGGCTGTTGGTCCTGCCTGGTTTAAGAACAGTTTATGAGAGCATGCTGAGAACATTCCACACCCTAAATGTTGCTGAGAACTGGGAGAGCTCGCCAGTAGGGGGGAGAATCCCAGCTGTGTCACCTCCCTTTCTGGGCCTCAGTTTCCTCATCTGTCAAGTCACAGGCTGATCATGAGTACAGGGAGCCCAGCGCTGGCCATTCGGAGTCCCCCCCTCCTGACTGAAGAATTTGAATAGTGGGCAGCAGCCATCAGCTGCTTACTACATGGGCAGACTCGCTTTGAGAACTCAGACCATTAACTCATTAAACCTGTGCGACTGCCTGTAAATACTCTGTCAACACTCTTCCCATTTTACAGATGCAGTAACTGAGGCCCTGAAGAAGCTAACTTGCCTAGTGGTTCACAGCTGGAAAGTGGAGGAGGTAAGATTTGAACCTGGTTCAACAACCCACATGCTCTGCTAACTGTCCACGCTGTGGGTGGAGCAAAGAGCAAACTCTGGACCTGATCGGACACGCGGCATCTCTCAGTGCACAGAAAGCGCTCCGTAAATGGCAGCTTCTTCCCTGCCCTTCTGGGAGTGTCCGCTGGAAACGTAAGTTCTTATTGAGCCTATTTGTCCTAAGACAACCTTCCGATGTGATGGGCAGGAGGGACCCTATCAGCAATGTCACTGTCCCTATTTTCCTGCTGGGGAGGCCAAGGCCTGGAGAGGGGAAATGCGACATGTACAAGCCTGCAGAGCCAGAAAGGGTCACCAGGGGACATAAGCCTCGCTTCCTCCTACTCAGAGCCCCGCTACAGCCCCCGTCCTGCCAAATATGGCGCTCGTTGGCAGTGTAACCCCAGGCAAGTCCCCTTCCCTCCCTGGGCCTTGGTTTACTCATCTATAGGATAAAAAGTTTGGACCAGAAACGCCCCTCGGCTGGGACCTTGGGGGCAGACTTGGACCCCCACCTCACAGGCATTTTTGGAAAAGAACCCCAGTTCTGCACGAGGAACCTGTCCTTCCCAACAGGGAAATCAGTGTGGCCGCGTCTGGGCAGGGGCCACGCCACAAGGGACACTGTGGCTGTTTTAAAGAAGACTCCTGACTTGGGCTTCCCAAACCGCCACTCCCGTGCCCAACAGTCAGGAATGGGTCAGGGTGGCCCCAGGTCAGCAGGGCCAAGTTCAGGGACATGAAGGTGAGAGAACAGATGGGACATGGGCTCCAGCAGCAAGACTGAGGGGCCAGAGCCTCCCAGACACTCCACTCCCCACCACAGTTGACAGCCTCTGACCACGCAGACAGTGGTCAAGGTGAGGAAAGGCTCCGGACAGTGAGTGGCAGAGCTGGGGTTCACATACACACAGTGAGTGGCAGAGCTGGGGTTCACATGCACACAGTGAGTGGCAGAGCTGGGGTTCACATGCAGAGCTCCCTTCCTGAAGCCCCCTCGCCAGAACACCCCCTGTCCCAGCCGGTGAGCTCTCCCAGGCTCCAGAGAAAAGAACATGCCTTCAACGCCTCATCACGGCCACACCTGTCCTTTGGACCTGTCCTTCCCAAGACGTCGCTTGGCCGCTGAAGGCTTGAAGTCCTTTCCCATCGCCCTCAGTCTCACTCTCTCCCACCCACTCAGGGACCTCAGTGGCTCCCCAATCAGGCCTCAAGTTTCCCTGAGCTTTGTAAAAAGACAACCCTCCCAGGAGCCTCTGGGCTGCTCCATCATTCTCCAACCTTCCCGACAAACCACCTGGAAAGAGGCCATCTCTCCTCGGCCCACTGTGATCCAGCTTCTGCGCCCATTCGCTCTTGAAACTGTCTGGCCAAAGCCACCAACTGTCACTCCTAATCCACCGGACCCGACCCCATTCTCAGGAGACCCCACGCACATGCACCCACACACTCCTGCCTGGCCTTGCTCTTCAGCCGCCCATCCCAAAGGATCAAGCCAGACTTCCTTCCTTCACCCTCCATCCTCTCCCTGGTGATCTTGTCAAGGATCTCTCCTCACCCATAAGCCCTGTGGTGATGACACCCCGAGCTTCAGGCTGACTTAACATGGTGCCTGGAAGAGAGGAGGCACACCCACCCTCTCTTCTCCAAAAACTCAGGCCCCCTTCAGCATTCTCCATGACTCTCCATCTACCCAGGCAGCCAAATGAGAAACTTGGAGTCACTCAGACCACTGCCTTCCTCCTCCATCCAACTCAGCCCACATTCTGTGGGTCCTACCTCCAGTCTCCCTGAAGCCCACCCGTGTCCCCCATCCCTGGCAGCCTTTGCCAGTGCAGGCACACCTCTGCCCGCGCTGCTGCACACAGGTCTCCGTCAGCTCCTGACTGCTCATCTTGCCCCCTCTGGCCCACTCCCTCATTCTGCAGCAAGATTGGCCTCCCTAAACTGCAAGTCAGCTCTTTTAGGAATCTGGTGAACATTTGCTACACATCAGGCATTGAATGAAAGGTCTTTGTCGTGACAGTTTATAGCCTTGCCTGGGGAATGGACAGGAAATAAAGACACAAGCATCCAAACAGGAGTGGAAGAATGTGATGCTCCTGCCAGCCCTGGTAAACGGCCTGGCCCCTGCCCTCAGGGAGAGGTCTGAATTCCAGGGGTGCTCAGTGCTCCTCCCTGCCGCCAGCCACATTCAGTTACTCCTGGAAAAAGCTACTAGACTCTCTCTTTCTTCTCATCCGGCTAACTCTTCCTCGTCCTTCAGGGCCAGGTAAAATGTCCCTTCCTCCAGGAGGTCCATCGGCCTGGGTTAGTCTGAGTTGAGGCTACTCCCAGGAGCTTGATGCCCCAGCGTAGCTCTTGTCACACTGTGCTAATTGTTGATCATTTGTCTTTCCCCATAAGACGGTGAGCTCAAGATGGGCAGCCCATGGGCCTTGTCTGTCCCTGTGTCCCTAGCACCTCATTCCACCATAGGAGTGCTCAGAAAACATTTGCCGAATGAATGAATGAGTAGACAAATAATGCCTCCTTGTCAAGGTATTCCTTAGCATGAGTATAAAGCTGGGAAAAGAGTCAAGGGCCTGAGCTGGGCCATACCCACCCAGGCCTGTCTACCTGCAGGCCAAGGTGGCCTGCAAAGAACCATCAGGCCACAGAGGGAGGAAGCAGAGCCCTCCAGCTTAAAAGGAGGAGCCTGGCTAGGACTGGCCCAAGTGAGCTATTTACCCTATAAGGCCTCTGGATTCCAGGGGGCGGGGACAGGATGTGATTAAGCAGTGCAAAAACAGGGTGTTAGAGGGTCTCCTTCCTGAAGACTGCATGCTTGCCTGCCACCAGCTCCTTTCCTGAGGGGTGACCTCAGTCAACAGGCATGACCTAACAGGCATGCTTGGGGTGAAGAGTGCAAATGGGGGACAGGACAGAGCCAGGCTGGAGGCTGGCCACACCCTCCCCCTGGTAGGAGGGTCCATCAATCATTGATGCCACACAGAACAGGTGGTCCAAAGGGTCATGGGATGACCATGTTGACCCAACTCCAGGGGCAATCTGTGCTCTGGGGGAGCCACTTGGTCCCCCGACACATACTAAAGAAGGGGCTGGGTTTTTTTGGTGCTCTCCAAACATGACTTCCCCCCAAGAGTCCAATTTTCTTGATCAGTGGGCCTGTCCCAGGCTCTGGGCATAGATTCTCCAGAGTGAAACAGCCTGGGGTCTGACCTTCTCCCTCATTCACTCTTACAAGCACACACAGTACTAATTTGCGGAAAAGGAACAGGATTTGTCACCATCTCTGATATACGGAGGACAAAGGTTGGTTTGCAGCCAGAGGCTTATGGGAGGAGAGGAGGGGGGCTTCTAATTGGTCCGAGGTCTGGCATGCCAGGACTCTCCGATCTAAGTGACAATGAAGAAGGAGTGTCCTTTCCTGGGTAGGGGCATTACAGGGGCTTCTGGAGGACTCAACAGGATGCTGGGAGAACTGTGACCTAACGGGGCTGACACAGAGTACGTGCTCTGTGACTGACAGGGCTGCTCCATACCGCTGCCTGTGATGGAGGGCGGAGGCAGTGGCTGAATCGGGGCCCTCCTCGGTCTCCAGCCCTTGGCCATGGACTTCTATCACCACTCACCTCACTGCGAGTCTCCGCCCTGAAAGCGGGTGTAGG